CTAAAACTAGGAAAGATATTCCAAGGACTTCCTAATTTGCATAAAAAGGGCAGATCTTCCAAAAAAAATTATAGTTCCCTTACATCATGAATAGTAAGAACAGCACCAACACCGAAACCAGGTTTGCCATCTTTCTTCACAAGTAAAACAACAGGAGAGACATGTTTTCCGTCAGATAAACGGAGATAGGACATCATGTCATTAGTCGCCACGAAGATAACCTGAAAAGGAGAAATTTGATAAGAAATATCTTGGTAACTGCTTATGGCAATGTTATATTAAGCAAAGTTGGTAAATTAATACGTAAAACTGAAATTGTGAAGTAGCCATAAAAAAGAAAGAGATAAAAAATCAAGGAACTTACTTGCACATTAATAGAATGCTGTAGATTTTGGCTATACAACTCCAGTATGCCATTTTCTGTAAGTACACATTTAGACTTCCCACTCATTTTTCCTGCAAATGAAAGAAAAAAAAAATATTTGAAGTAGATAGTAAATAGACAAAAACATAATTTAGGATTATATATAGTACTTACTGGGTAAGGATTTATAATCACAATTACCTTTTCTTGTAATAAAGAATCTCACCAATAGTAACTTTACAGAAAGGAGAAAAGTTCTTCATATCCTAAATACTTTTGCTTAACCCAATTCCGATGGGCATGACGTGTACATATGTGCTTTGCCCACTGTGAGTACTTGTTTGATTGTTTTTACTAAGTCACCAATGAGCCAGTTACGAGTACTGCCTGTCTCGCCTGTTTACTCTTTTCTTTGATTTAGGAAAATATTTTACGTTCTCTTATTTTGCTGTTAGTAATGTTTATAACATTATAGTAATTGTAATGTTTATAATAAAAATAACATACATTTTTTTCCCGCCAATTCAAATCACGTAAGGTTACAAGGTCTACTAATTGACTCATTTGCGGCTAAGCACTAGCTGAGCCATGTAGTTGCAGAGACATTTCACAAAATTATAGAAAATGAGCACTGCATTTTTCCAATTTTTTATTCATTTTTCCCAGCGGCATTGGGTTAATACCAATAGACATCTACCATAGAAAAAATACACGTAACACTGCTGCAACTAACTGCTGCAATGAAAGAAACTCAACACAGATAAAGATACAAAGGTAATTATGAATACACAAGTGACTGATAGTCAACTCTGAGAAAGAACAGAAAGTTACACTGGGGGGGAGGGGGATGAGGCACTAGCAGACCCAAATCAGGGAAGCAAAGGCACTGAAGAGTGGTGTGACTGCTGATGAACTGCTGAGTGGCAGTGTCAGCAGCCTTACTATGAGGATTTTGAAGTCAGTAGGAACATTACAAGCCAACATGGTATATTGTGTTCCTCACCAATAAATTTTACTTTCCTACTATCTTGTTTTGCTTCTTTTTCAACCTGTATATAATCGCGCGTGCGCGTGTATGCTTTTCAGACACTACAGTACCAGACAATACATGTAAATAAATCTGTTCAATTTGGATGTTATGGAATAACAATTTTATGTACATTCAAATAGATTATTATTCATATATGCAAGATTAAATTTTGATTATCAGTGCATACTGCTTACCAATCAGCAAATAATTTAAGAAAGTTATTTAGAGTTATACTTTACAGGACTCTCTATATGCCAAAATGATACCCTTTAGGCCAATATTAATGACTTGTATATTACATTCCTGATGTGTCAAATATTTTCTTATCTGAAATTTAATCCTTTTGTATATAAAACTCCATAAAATTAAGTCACATATTTATCTTAAATATTCAGCAGCAACTAAAAACATTGTTTAGCCTAAACTGAAATACATTTTTAATCAGGCACATATGTGGGTTTCTGAATGGCAAATATCAAAAATAATTATGATTTTGAACTTCAAGAAATAACTATTCTAAGTTAATCTAATTAATTTGATAACATAATGAATATGATGTGAGAACAGAAAAAAAAAAGTATTATCCTATAAAAAAAATCAACTATGAAAGAATCAATTACTTCTAAAGAAGATTCTGATATATATGTAATATGCAATTTTGAGGACGATATAACACCAAATGTATTAACTACAGCTCCTGTCTCATGACATTATTCATTATTAGTTACACAAGTGTAAAGTGGTTAATCTTTATGACTGCACAAAATTAGGGCAAGCTAAACATGATATTCTTGTAAAGGACGAAAAGTTGCAGTCATTGGTACGAAACAATCTGCAGACACAAAAAGAAAGACCACAAATAAAGGGAAAAATTTTTCACTGGTCTTTGAGTAAGTCCACTCGTAATTCCAGAGTTTCAGCTCTACCTTGCCGTGCACACAGAGGTGAAGACAATGTTTCTGTGTCATATATGAGTGTGTGTGTGTGTGTTTGTATATGTGTTTATTTATTTATATATGTGTGTGTGTGTGTGTGTGTGTGTGTGTGTGTGTGTGTGTGTGTGTGTGTGTGTGTGTGTGTGTGTGTGTGTGTGTGTGTGTGTGTGTACATTAATCATTTATGCATGTTGTATATAGATTCTATTCCTACATACTGCATTTCATTTATACAGAGAG